GGGACTAGGAGTCAAAGAGGATTCTGGGAAATGTAGTAGAGAAGTGGTGATCCAGGCAGGAAGTGACATAGCAAGGAGACTCATAACTAAGTAAAGGAAAAACAGGAAGGGTCCCTTTTCCCCTTGCTCCTCCAGCACAACAATGTGATCCACCGGCAAGGAGGGACGGCAATAAGGCATCCGATAAGTGTTATAAAATATATAGATTTATGATACTTGAGACTGAGCTAACAGATGAGAATCCTAGTCATTGGCCAAGCAGCATTGTATATCATACAAGTTTCTGTGTATTCATTTGGGCCCTAACTCAGGCGGGTGGCTGGCATAAAGCTCACATTTGGCGGTGGGGTCAGCGGCTTTTGGTGGAAGGATTTATCGTAACACAGATGTAGTTGGATGTTGAGGACAAAATGGTGGAGGTTGGTTAGGCAGGATGTAAACCAGTGGGGGCTTCTTATCGCTCAGCTTTCATAAGTGCACTGAATGTTAGAAAATTTACATAAGAAAACCCCCTGTTGTGAGGCATACGAAAGTTCCTAGTGAAGAAAGGTGTTATGCATATCATGAATGTGGGCAAATCAATAGTTATTATCTTGTTCCTAATGAAAAATTTCACACAGGGTCAGGCCATGTTCCTGTAGCACATGTGGGAAAGCCTATCACAGCTAATACTTCTTCAGCATGAGAGTCCGCAAGGGAGGAAGCGTTATTAGTTCACCAAGTGTGGGAAGTTCTGTAGGCAACCTTCTGGCCTTATTGTCCACTAGAGAGTTATAAACAATGTACCAGTGTGACAGTGACTTTGGGGAATGCCCTAACCACAATTCTGACCTTGCTGTACTCTGAAGAATCCACATCACTCCCAGGCTTTATACATGCAACCAACATGGGAAAGCCTTTAGACACAACACGGAATTGTTCAACATCAGCGAGTTCACACGGAATAAAAGGTTCATAAGTGTAGTGAGTGTGGAAGAGCCTTCAGCAGGAAGTGCAGACTTGTTGAGCATCATGACATCCACAGCACAGGAACAGCTGGCCTTATTTCCCATCAAAGATTTCACATGGGTGAACAGCCATATGAGTGCATCCATTGTAGTAAATGTTTTATCCAAAGCTCTACCCTTAACCTGCATCAGAGAGTTCTCACTGGAGAAAGACCTCATCAATGCAGTGAGTGTGGGAAAGCCTTCTTCAGCCTTAAGTTAACACTTATTCCACCCCAGAGAATCAATAATGAAGAGAAATCTTACAGGTGCAGTGAATGTGGGAAGGT